ACCTGATGAGCTGTGGGAGGATGCCAGGAACATCATTCATGAGGTCACTGTGAGACCAAGTTGACTCGAGGCAACTGTTTTTCATTTATTATTCTTTTAAAATATCGGTGGAAACTCAGAGGCTTACCTCTTACATGCAGGCATCTGTGAATAAGCCAGAGCAGGGGAAACCGGCCACCCCTACTTGGTGCCCGCAGCTCTCCAAGGGAAACTCCAACCTGAGACACCTTCTTCAGGCCTTCAGATGCTACACTGCTCAGTGTAAAATCTATGCATCCAAAACAGTGACTTCCTATGTGTGCATTTCCCCCCCCAGAATGCTGAGTTGTGTACAATATGGGACTGGGGAGAAAGTAGCTCTCAGTTTGGCACATTTGGAATATGCCGTGAGTCACAGTTTTGGCAGACTCCATGAACCTAAGATCATGTATTAGTCTAGGTACTTTGGAGAAACAAATCCACAGCAACTCATGTATAAGAGAGAGTTTTATGCAAAGAAAATGTGCATCATGAAAACATCCCAACCCAATGCTGCCCAAGCCCACAAGTCCAACATTAACCCATACCCAACACCAGTCCACAAAGTCCTTCACCTCACAAAACAGAGGCAATAATGCCGACTGCAGGAGGAAAGCTGAGTCAGTGAATGTGTAAGCATCTCAGCACTGGCAGGGGTCTCCACACGGCTGCTCCAGCACCCAGGGCTGCATCAGGATAGATCCATGCGGCTTCTCCTTGGGGATGTCTTGTAGGAAATCCATCTTGCAAGCTGAAGCAGGGAACTGCTAAGGCAGCTGCACCCGATGCAACCATCACAAAACAAGAGACCCGAGAACTAGAAAGGCGAGGCTTCACCACCCATTTATCCCTCCGCCTTTCAACCAGCACCACATGTGATTATCGGCCAGGCTGGCACAATTAACTAACTCAGATCAGAACCACCACATGGTGCCCATCTACCACTACCAATTGCTTGGAAAATAATCCCATTAGAAGGTCCTGGATAGAGTGGAAGAAAATTGTGTAACAAAATTTAAAATATTAAGCGACAAGGCTTCCTGCTCAGATAAGATGAAAGCCCCCAAAATATGGTCCTTAATCACCCACACAGGTCTGCAACTGAACTCACCCCTATGACTCAGTTTTCAGTGAAAGAATACACAGCTCTAAAAGGTGAGCAGTAACACTAATGAGTAGGCGCACCCTAGAATAATGAGCCTGGTGAGATCAAGGGCAGCATTATCCCAGGATAGAGTTCAGATGGGTTAGGAACAAGGAGGAATGGAAAAGCAGCACAAGACAGTAGTGGTATTACATTGAGAGGATTGCAATGAATGAGATAAAATTAAATTTATATGAGTTGTTGAACATAACACCAATGACCTTCTTGGTAAACTTTTACCCAAATCACAATAAAAAGAAAAAAAGTTAAATGAAAAGGAAGCCACGTAAAAGAAGATGTAAGTTTCTGTACAGTAGAGTCCTGCATAGCCTTTATTATTTCAATTTGCAATATGGGAGGTACTGTGTGTCATATTCCAACAACAACTGGGCAACCCTTGTGGAGAGTAAGAGGGCAGGGCAGAAGATCAGGATCACTGGCTTGCACATCCATCTTTTAAATAGTATTTCACAAGCACTGGGTCTACAAATGACATCTTGCTGCAACCTGAGCAGTCAGTGATGGAACCCTTGGCCACGGCCTGGGAAGCTTGCTCAGCAGGATCTTTAATTTGTGCTTCATGCTGTGTCCACCCATTTATTTTTCTGAACTATATCCATCATGCAAAGGAGTACTATATCCATCCAGGCAGGGAGTACTATATCCAGCATGCAAAGAAACTGAGCACACTGAAACAGCACTCCTCTTTGGCAGGCCATGTCAGATGTTTTCTCATGGGAAAATGTACAGCTGTCTTGCTTGGTGTGAAAATTGAGGTCAAGATTGTATAAGTCAAGATCAAAGTGAGGTGAGATCTGTCGCCAGGCAGCATTGCTGGCAGGGCGCATGCTCATCTCCATGGCAGCTGCTGATGAGCTTAAACACATTAATGCCCCTGTCCAAACTGTTAGTAATGGAAGACTTTGATTAGCCACGTCAGCAATTTGATACATAATTGAACAACCAATTTATTGTGTAGTTACATAAGTAATCTTTTAACCAGAGATCAGTAACCCACATTCAATACTATTAATACACCAGAGTAAGTCTAAATTCAGATGCCAAGAAGACCATAGAATTAAACAGACCTTGACAAAATGACCAACCGCACTGTTTTCAGAGCCTTCAAAAGATATGTATGTCCTAAATTTAAGATTAAGGAATAAATAAGTATTGATTATTAGGTTATAAAAATACAAAAAGCATATCTCATGCTAAAAATGAGTCAGAAGAGAAAAAACAGGGCAGAGATGAGTCATTTTTTAAGTCTAATAAAAGCTCAAGGCACTTACGATATCACCAGAATTCATCCCAAGTTTCCTGAATCCAAGACTTCATTTACTCCATCAAACTGCCTCACCATCACTAAAACGTAGATGCCATGGGATTGGAGAACGGCATTCAAACCTCCACACTCGCCACTCTGATCCACTGTTTCCATCTAGAATTTAACGAACTCTTTTTGTTGTTGTTGTTAGGGGCGGGGGTGGGTGGGTGTTGTTGTTGGTTTCAATCCACAAAGAGTGTCAATGGTCTTGTCCTTATCAAAGAGAAAGCTTTAGCTACAAAGCTAGCCCTGCCGTCATTGTGTCTTGCACAGTGAAGACCAGGAGTAGGTGCTTAATAAACACAGTAGGAGTATAAAAATAACACAGCCTTATCTCAGATAAGTATCAAGAAAGGGATTTCGTTAGAAACAGTTACCATTTCTCTCCCAATCAGTTGTTATCCTTTTAACTATAACAAAACCCATACAAGAGAACATGAACAGTGCCCGGTAGAGTGCCCCCAGACTCCTATCCACAAAAGCTGTCTAGCGGGTACCTATATCCATGGGTAGGATAAATGGCTGAATAGAGAAACGTTCATATGTTGCTTTTAAATACTCCCATTTTAAAACACCATTCTTTGCCATTGTGATTTCCATGAACCATTTTCTACAAACATATGGAGGTGGATGTTTTGTTGTTGTTGAGAACATACACATCCACATATACACCAATTCAACTTTTCTATATGTACAATTCAATGACACTGATTACATTCTTCAAGTTAGGCAACCATTCCCACCCTCTCTTGATGAGTTGTTCCTTAACATTAATATATACTCACTACCCTCTAAGATTCCTGTCTAATCTTTCTAGTTGCCTTGTAACTTCAATCATATATATTTCTTAAAAGCATATAATGTTCATGTAAAAACATTTTAATAGGTAAACTATTCTATTCTTCAATTTTTTTTGAATATTTCATGGGATGTAATTGGTTTCAGTTTAAAAAATTAACCCAGGGCAATAGTTTAAAGAGTTTTTCAAGTCCTCTTGGCTCCAAAAAGTCTAGAATCCATGAAATTTAGAAATTCTGCTCTGTGCTTCCCCCTGCTCACCTTTGAGCAAGACTCTTCTTCTTTAGCATTTTTAATTAAAATATTTAATAATGGTAGCTGGACACCAGATCTTCTGCTCCAGGAAAATATTTGTCTCCAGAGAACAGTTGTCTTTGCCTAGGATGGCTGCTTGTAAGTGTTTAAGGTCCAGACACTAGGCAACAAACTAGAATGCAGAAAACAAGCTCTAAACATGTTATTGGGTCAATTAACTGGGATTTACCATAAAACTATGACCCCAAAGCAAGGAGCCAAATCCCATGAAGTTTTTGGTCATACATAAGTAGTCTTTGTAGGTCCCTTTGCAGGGAGAGTAGAATTGTTGTGAATATAGCTATATTCATAATATATATAACATATATATTTAGAATATAACATACCTTTTGCCAGTTCAGCTTTTTATAGGGACACCACTTACTGCAAGCATTACCATACTTGGCTGTGTAACCCTTGTCCTAATTGGGGTAGATTTCCGTCATGTGTGCTGAATCGGTATATATAGAGAAAAAAATGCCAGCTCTCTGAATCATAAATATCTTCAATGAGGAAGAAGTTATTATGATGATGCTTGAAATAAATAATTGTGGTGTATCCATGAACAAAGTAACTAATTACTAAAAATAATTGCTTCCTAAACCTAATTTTTGGATGTTGTCTTTCTAACTAAAGAATATATGGTTGAGTGATTTGAATGAGATAAATGGTGATTTTTCTGAGCTCACTATTTAAGCAATTCCACAACTGCCAAAGCAAAATAAACTCATTTCCTGCTGAAAATGTTGCTATTTTATAGACTCTGCCCTTGATTTCCAGATCTTCTCAAGATGCCTTGAAATTGTGTGTTGTTTTTCCCCTAAAGGTATAAACTCTACTAGGAAGTATGCTAGGCTACAAAATGTGTTCTTAAGCAGCTTGAATACAAATGTGACTTTAGGAAGTTTAGCTGGTGGACAGTATATACGCTCATTTAAAATCACTGGCAATATAAAAAATGGGTCTGCTTACTAAATTACTTACACCCATTAATATTTTCACTCCCAATGTGTTGTATTTTCTTCTCTGTGCATATTGTTAGAAAATCTCTTCTGATATTCTAGATTTTATTTTTTAAATAGATTCAATATAGTCCAGCATATTTTAAAGCATACATCTTGTATTACAGTTTTGTATATTAAAAAACAAAGGTAAACACTCAAGTAACTTTATCTACCTGCAGTTGAACTCTTTTGCATTTTCTTTCTTTCTTTTGATGGCGTTTGGAGGCTGTCCTTCAAAGACACATGTGATAAACTTGGATGAACCAGAGAAGGTCTTATCATACAATAAGGTTCTGATCTATTCCAGCTAGCCAGCCATTGGTACTCATTGCGGTAGTCTCTCATTCAGGAAATTTCTAATCTATTTACATATTTCATATCCTTTTTGAAGTAAAATGATAGGAAGAAGGCCTACCTGGTAATTTGTGTTCTTGTACTGAAGTCAAGAGTTTTCATTGAGCGCAGAACTTCAATGCACCCCAAGTACTGCAAGGGAAACATTACATTATGAGCCCAGAAATAGAGATGAAAAGACAGTTTGTAATGAAAACAAAGATATTTATAGAAGTAATTCATATTGCTGAAATTATATTTTCACTCCATATTGTATTATGAGGCTCTATTCTGTTTTGATAAGTGTAGCAATTCACACCCTTAAAAAAACTTTAGTAAGTATAATGGCACTATAATGGACTTTCTAAAAGCCATTTGTATTTTCATTATATTTAGAAGAATATTCTTAGTATCGACTACAGTAAAACACATAAATTTTAAGTATATAATGAAATAATTACTTACACATGTAGTGACAGCATTATAACTACTCCCGGGCCCCTATATCATATACTTATCCTTTCACAATACTTAAAGATATTTATAAGCTTTAAACCAAAAATGAAAACACTATAAGAACCAAAATTTCACAAACACTAAAGTTTTTTTATATAATAAATATACATGCATTTCTATGAATAAACTATATATATATGTCACCCCCAAAGAGTTTTATGTTTGTTTTCTAGAAAGCTCACTTCCACATTATTTAACCTAAGTTCCAGATTATTTAACCTAATTTTCGAGAAATTCACATTTATAATTATATATTTGGAGATAAATTTTTTCAGGTACACATGTGAAAATGTGTATTTCTTATAAATTTGTGTATAGACAAAATTGTGCGATAGGTAAAGAATTAGAATGGTACAAATACAATATTTGCATTCCAAACATCCTCAGGGACACTAAATATATAGTTAGATATTTTTTACACCGATGTCTTTAAATGTAGACTTCCGTTGTTCTGACCTCACCCATTTAACCTAAGGAAACACGTTTCTTCTCTTTGGCTTGGCAGGTGCAGAAGGTTACAAGCTGTTGCAGGGAATCTTTCTTCTATGCTCAGCAGATGCAGGATGTGATAATCTGTGTCCCCAGAGTCCGTGTTATCAATAAATCTTGTTCAAAATAGATCCTCAAGGAATGAACATCTTGGGAAACCATTTTAATCACTGGTTACCTGAAACCCCAGTCCTGTCATTGTCCTGTGACCATCTGCATGAACTGAAAAGCGAGCTCACATGCTTGCAATGATGTATTGTTAACAATCATGCTACATGTTCTCTAACCACCCGCTCTCACTGAGTCCCTACTCTTAGAGATCCTGCCTTCAAATTCTCTTCCTACTTTTCAGTACATCATGACTTTTAAGCTTCGCCTTGCTCTGGGCTATGCAAGTGTGCTAGTAACCTCTTTCTTGTTCAGTAGAGTGGTCACTTTCCTTTTATGGATTTGCATATTTTCCATGTTGAAACTGTCTCTGACTTTTAAATAAATCTTTTAATTTTACTTTTACAGAATGTTAATCTTTACTCCAGATCATCATGTAACTTTGAACAAAACTTTAAACTGGCCTGAGCCTGTTTCTACACCCATGAAATATGAATTGCTTGAAAACAAATGAGAATGAAAATATAACCTATTAAAACCTTTGGGACACAGAAAATCAACAACAAGGCAGCAACTTATAGCAATATAAACACACACACCAAAAAATAATATCCAAGCCTTAATTCATCATTTTCGCCAATTAAAATAAGGACAACAATTAAGATAAGGACAACAAAATAAACATAGTCACAAGAAGAAAAGAAAGCACAAAGATTAGAGCAGAAATAAATGAATCAGAAAATGGAAAGGCAATAGAAAAAAATCAACAAGAGAAGCTGGCTCTTTGAAAGGATTACCAAAATTGGCAAAGCAATGGCAAACTTAAGAAAGGAAAAGAAGATGCAAAGGATAAGAATAATAAATAAGCTGGGTGACATCAAAACAGATCCAAATAAAATAAGAAAGATAATTCTACAAGACTATGGAAGAACATACTTCGACTAATATGAAAACCTAGAAGAAATGGAGAACTTTCTAAAACCACACTGTGGCTGTTGTTGCTAAGCGCCGTTGAATCCGTTCCAATCATTACCACCCTGTGCACCGCCGGACGAAGCACGGCCTGATCCTGTGCCATCCTCACAAGGGTTGATTTGCCTGACCAACTGGTGCAGTGCCTTTGTCAATCTTCCCTCCTTGAGGGCCTTCCTCTCTTTCATTGCTCCTCCACTTTACCAAGCACGATGCCTTGCTCCAGGGACTGGTCTCTCACGACAACATGTCCAAAGGATGTTAGACAGAGTCTTGCATTGCTTGCCTCTAAAGAGCACTCTGGCCAAACTTCTCCCAAGACAGATCCCTTTGTTCTTGTAGCAGTTCATGGAACGTTTACTATTCATCACCAGTCCCACAATGCAAATGCATCCATTCTTCTTCAGTCTCCCTTATCAATGTCCACCTTTCACATGCATATGAGGCAATGGAAAATACCATTCCCCTGGCTTTCCTCAGGCAGGCACACCTTAGTCCTCACAGGAACATTCTAGCTTTTCAATATTCTTGTGCAGCAGAAGTCTTGTACCTAATGCAACATGTCTTTTGATCTCTTGACTGCTGCTTCCATGAACATTGATTGTGATCCAAGCAAGACAAAAATCCTTGACAACTTCAACCCTTTCTCCATTTATCATGACGTTATCTATTGGTCCAAATGGGAGGATTTGGGTCTTCTTTGCATTGAATCATAATCCATACTGAATGTTGCAATCCTTGATCTTCATCGAAGAGTACGTTAGGTCGTCCTCAATTTCAGCAACTTAGGTTGTGTCATCTGCATATCACAGGTTGTTGATAAGCCTTCCTCCATTCATGATGCCAAATACTCCTTTATATAAGCCAGAGTCTCTGATTATTTTCTCAGCATACAGACTAAATAAGTAAGGTGAGAGGAAATGACCTCGATGCATACCTTTCCTGATTTTAAACCCTGCAGTGTGCCCGTGTTCTCTTTGCACACTGCCTCTTGACTCATGTACAAGTTCCACATGAGCACAATGAAGTGTTCTGGAATTCTTATTCGTCTCAAGCCTATGCATAGTTTGTTAGGATCCATACAGTCCTTGGCATTGTCAATAAAACATAAGTAAATATCTGTCTGGTAATCTCTGCTTTCAGCCAAGATCTATCTGTCATCAGCAATGATATCTCTTCTTCCACTGCAAAAAGAGAAGTAAAACTTTCTATTTGCAGATCATAAGATTTTATATATAGAAACATCCAAAGATTAGACAAGAAAAATTCTGGAAATAATCACAATAGTTGACAATGTGGCAGAATACAAGATCAATGTACAAAAATTAACTGGATAAAAAAAATAACTGAATTCCTGTAAACAAAGTGAGAGAGAGCTCTGAAAATGGTATCTATGAAACAATATCATTTGCAATAGCCACTGGTGTAATGGTTACCCACTGCAATCAGAAAGGTTCACAGTTCAAAACCACCAACTGCTCCTTGGACAAAGACAAAGACAGGGCTTTCTATTCGAGTAAACACTTAGAATCTTGGAAACTCACAAGGGGCAGTCCTACCCTGTCCTATTGAGTTGGTATCGATTTGATGGAAGTGAGAGAGAATAAAAGAGTGAGCAAAAAAACTCAACTAGAGAAATCCAAAACTTGTAAAAAAGAAACTACAAAGCACTATCACAAGAAACCCAAAGTTGTTAGGTGCCATGGAGTTGGTTCTGACCTATAGCTACCCTATGAAGAACAGAAGGAAACACTGCCCGCTCCGCACCACCCTCACAAGTGGTCCTATGCAGGGGATACCAATCACAGATTAACTCAAAACACCCCCTCCCCCAGGGGGACAAAAAACAGAAACGTAGGCACAGAGAAAAAGTGGTCGGTGTAAATTTATCAAGGGGCCACAAGGGTGGAAGGGCAGAGAGGGGGGTGCAAGAAGAGCTCAAATACCAAGGGCTCAAATAGAAAATAAATGTTTAGAAAATGATGATGGCAACATAGATGCAAATATGCTTGATATAGTTGATGTATGGGTTGTTATAAGAACTGTAAGAAACCCCAATAAAATGATTTTTTAAATTGTTCCTGTGCTACGCAAGAAACCAAAAGAGATCTACATAATGAAAGAATGTTCTATGCTCATGGATAGCAAGGCTTAACATTGTGAAAGTGTCTATACTACCCAAAGCAATCTATGAATACAGCACAATTTCAATTCAGTTCTCAGCATCATTGTTTAAAGACCGGAAAAATCTTATTATTAATTTTATATGGAGAGAAAAAATACCCAGGATGAGCCAAGCACTAAATAAAACTAAAGCCTTTTACTTCCAAACCTCAAAAACTGTACACAAAAATGATTAAAAACTATACACCATCACAGTAGTTAAAACAGCCTGGTGCTGGTACACCAGAGTAGACCAAAGGAACAGAATAGACATTTCAGAAATAAGCCCATCCACTCACAGATCTTCTACAAAACACTGACATACACTAAATCGGGAAGAGAGAGTCTCCACAATAAATAGTGTTGTCAAATTGGATTTCCAGCAGCCAATGCACAGAGAGGACCATAG